AGAGCTGTTGATGTTTTGATTAGCAGACCAATATGCAACAAACTGGGGCTAACTCTGAGAAGAATGGGAATCCCAGAACACTTGATTGTGCTTCCGTGAAACCTATACTTGGACCAGGAGATAGTAGTTAGAACAGAGCAAGGAAACACTGCATGATTTAAAATCGGGAAGGGTGTATGCCAGGGATGTGTCCTATCTCCATGCCTTTTCAATCTATATGTGGAGCAGACCATCTGGGAGGCTGGGCTTGATGAGGAAGAATGTGACATCAAGAAGACTCATCAAGAAGATGACAGAGCCCTGCTTGCTGAAACTGAGGAGGACCTGAAGTGTTTTGCTGCCCAAGGTCAAGGACTGTAGTCTTTATATGGATAGCTCAACATCAAGAAAACAAAGATTCTCACCACTGGGCCGACTGGCAACATCATGATAGATGGTGAAGAGAATGAAATTGTTCACAGCTTTAGCTTGCTTGGTTCCACAATCAACGCTCTTGGCACCAGCTGCCAGGAAATTAAAAGATGAATTGCATTGGGAAAGTCTGCTGTCAGGGACATCTCCAGAGTACTGAAGAGCATCGATGCCAGTCTGGATACTATGGTGTGCCTCATCCAGGCCATGGTCTTTGCAATTACATTCTAAGCATCAGAAAGCAGGACAATGACTAATGATGATAGAAGGAGAATTGATGCTTTTGAGCTATGGTGCTGAGGAAGAGTATTCAAAATGCCATGGACTGCTAGGAGAACAAACAGGTTCGTCCTAGAGAGGGTGAGACCAGGCTGCTCCTTGGAGGCAAGGATTCTGAAGCTTCATCTGATATACTTTGGGCATGTCATAAGTAGGGATCGATCTGTCCTTGGAGAGGGTAATATGTTTGGAAGGCTGATAGCACAAGAGAGGAAGATTCTATATGAGATTGCTTGGGTAATGGGGGTAGGTGTGTCAGAGACAATAAAGTTGGCTCAGGATAGAGCAGGGTTCAGAGCTGTTGTATATGGTGTCATTATCAGTCACAGGCAACTTGAGGGCACATAACAACACTACTACGGCTCTTTAACCTTTTAATATCAGGCTCTCTAAAACTATTCTAGCCTCTACTCATTATCCTAATGTAATTAGTCTTTTCATTTTGGGGTAAGTGTATCAGACAAAGACAGTAAGATTGGCACAGAATAGAGAGCAGGGTTTAGGGCTGTTGTACATGGGGCCACTACGAGTTGCAGGCGACTTGACGGCACATAACAACAACAACTCATTTCCCAAATCGCTTCGATATTTTTGATATCTTAGGGCAACACTCCATTCTTTACATACCAAATTCTGTTTTAGTTATCTAAAGAAGTCCAAATTCAGGGGTGTTTACACTAGGGGAAGGAGAAAGATCTTTGTGTCTACTAGCAACTGAAGGCCCAGCATTCCGTGGAGACCATCAATTCTTGGCCTTCCCTGGTGTCCAGGAGCTTCTCAGCACAGGGACCCAGGTCCAAAGGATGCACTCTATTCCTGGAGATTCTTTGTTGTTTGTACTAAGCCTCCTTCCCCTCTGCTCTACCCCTCAACTTTTCTTTCACATCCGGAAAACAACCCTAGGGAACTCTCCCTGTAGCAAATCAGTACTAGGATGGGAAAGAGTGTTGTGGCCTATCTTTATCTTTTTACAATTGTTTGCTTATCAGATCATGGGGGACCATTACACAGCTTCCACATTATATCATCATTTACACACTTGCAGGGGACCCAATACAATCTATGCCCTGATGACTTTGAACTTGATAACCTCACCAGCTGTGAGGGTTAAGAGAGAGAGATACTATCATGGGAGGGACTGGAGAGGATGATGCTGACTGACTAACCCATAAGGACAAATACTGTATAATGCCATTATCATAGAATTAGTTATGAGGATCCAAGGGGGGGAGGGTGGAAACAGAGGGATCAATAGAAGAGGATGTGCGGATGGGGAACTAGTACTGGGGTCACAAAATTTGATGGGTGGGAGTGTGTGTGTGTGGCGGGTATTAATCATGGGGTGGCAAAATTTGATGGGTGGGGGTGGTGAAGGAAATGGGAAAGATCTAGTGGGAAAAACAATGTATTCGAACTTTGTAAATAACCCAATATAAAATAAAACAGAGAGAGAGAGAACTCCTTCCTGAGCTTTGATGCACAGACCTCATGGTGCAGGTTGCAGGGAATTGCACTGCTAACCAAACTGCCGCACCTCTCTGGGGATTAAAGTCCACCTTTGGCTTCATGGCAGGGAGATGAGTAATCTCCTCCCATTGATTTACAGCATCAGGAACTCAATGAAATGTCAACTCTGAGTCAGTTCTGACTTGATGGCGAGGCTATATATTGTTTTTGTTGTTGTCAGGGGCCACTGAGTTGACTATGGCTCCTATGTTGTTGTTAGGTCCCCTTGAGTTTAGTACAATTCATAATGATTCTATAAACAACAGATCTGAACCCTGCCCTATCCTGATATCAATCTCTGATATACTTGAGCTCACTGCTGCAGTCACTGTGTCAATCCATCTGGTCGAGGGTCTTTCTCTTTCTCCCTCCCTCAGCTTTCCCAAGCATGATGTCCCAGAGTAACCTTTCCCAGCAATATACCAAAATATGTGAGACAAATTATCATCTTTGCCTCCAAACAGTATTCTGACTCTACTTTGTCCAAGATACATCTGTTTGTTCTTTTGGAAGTCCATGGGATATTCAGCACTCTTCAACAAAACAACTCAAAGGTATCAAGTCTTCTTCAATCATCCTTATTCATTTCCAGCTCTCTGGAGCATGGCAAATGATTAAAGACTGTGGCCTGAATCAGATGTACCTTAGTCCTCAAACTGACATCAGTGCTCCTCAATAATTTGGAGAGCTCCCTGTGTACAGACTTTCCCAGCGCAATCCATCTCCTGATCTCCTGACTGCTGGTACCAAATGTACTAATTGTGGATCTGAGTTACATGAGATGACGTTGTTGACAGTTTCAATCTTTTCTTTATCTGTCATGATGCTGCCTATTAGTCCAGTGGTGAGGATTTCTGTTTTCTTGATACAGAGAAGTAATCCATATTGGAGATTGTAGTCTTTGAACTTCTGCAGTAAGTGCTTCAAGTCCTTCTCACTTTCAGCAAGCAAGGTTGTGTCATCTGCATAATGAAGGTTATATATGAGTCTTCCTCCAAAACTGATGCTAAATTCTATTTAATAGAGTTCAGCTTTTCAAGTACTTTGCTCAGCATACAGATTGAATAGGTATGGAGAAAGGATACTACTCTGATGCACACTTTTCTTAATTTTAAACCATGTAGTGTTCCCTTGCTCTGTTCACACAACAGCTTCTTAGTCTAGGTAGAGGTTTTCTATGAGCACAGTTAAGAGTACTGGGATTCCCATTCTTCTCCTTGTTAGCCTTAATTTATTATGGCTTATATGTTGTTGTGTGCTATCAAGTCAGAACCAATTCATAGCCGACCCTCCAGTAGGTTTTCAGAGGCAGTATATTTCACACGAGTAGGTGACTGGCCAGCCCTCTCTCACATAGCAAATACAGACCCTATGAATAATGCATTTGGACCTTGCCCTATCCTGTGCCATCCTCAATGCAAAAACAAGCTTAGCTTCTTCTCTAAAGACCCAAGAATAAGATAACAGACATCACGGAAGTCAAGTCAAGCAAGGTTTCATTATGTTTACATGTTTCAAAAATTTGCTATATACTTCTTTAAATGGCTGATAAAGACTATATTAATTTGCAAACTAAAATACATTTGGTAGAATGCTTGCAATCAGAAAGGATTCAGACACAGCAATGTTTGTCTTTCTCCACCCAGAACACAGAACAGTAGCTACACTTGACAGAAGAATGAAGCTTCTCTAAGAAAAATACGTTGAGAACCCTAGCTCCCCACAAGGTTTCTGCCTCCAAGAAGAAAAGCCAAAAGTTTGTTTTTAGCCAAACTCCTTAGTGGTCGGTGAGCTTTCTGTGGGTTCCCTTCTATGGACATGTTAGGGACTAATGGCAGATTAGTGTCCACTGCTCATCATCTCTGACCTCTACATTAGAACCATTCAGTCAGCAAGACTTCCCATTTGTAGTGAGGCAAGAAGAAGGGGACAACTTTGTAATTTCCATGGAACAACATGTATTTACAATTTCTTTTACTTAGGCTTTTAAATAGAATTCTACTTTACAAGAGAGCTGTTGTACCTTACTGGGTAAAGGTACAACACTGCCACCCAAAGCCATGAGGCTCGAATCCACCAGACTTTCCTGAAGGCAGAGATGGGCTATTTCCTCCCCTGTGTCAACATAGTGGAGGATCAGCTATGAGTCCATTCTCACTCAACAGCAAGTACTTGTGGAAATAACTGCTGTCAAGTCCACTGTGACTCATGTTATCCATTCATCATGTCTCCAAGGCTGTAATGTTTACATGAGGAGGCTGCCTTCTCTTTCTCTCCAGGAGCAGACACTGGATTTGAGATGCTAATTTTCAGTTAATAGTCTGATAGGTAAGGTATCACACCACCAGGACTTCTTTCCAACTACACAGGGCTTGGCAATATCCAAAGGATTCTCATATATGCTGTCTCATCTCATGCTCTATAAATGGCTAAAAATGGCAGTTGTTGTCATTCTCATGTTTACAGATGGGAAACTGAGGCTTAAGAGAAGTTGTTGTTATGTGCTGTCAGGTCGCCTGCGGCTCTTGGCGACCCCATGTACAACAGCCCTAAACCCTGCCCTGCCCTGTGCCAATCTTATTGTCTCTGACACGCCCATTACCCCAGTCACTGAATCAATCCATTTCATCAAGGGTCTTCCTCTCTTGAGCTGTCCCTCCACCCTCCCAAACATGACTGGTTTCACCTTGCAACACATCCAAAGTATGTCACTCAGGCCTTCTTCATGCAGAAATTCCTGTTCTTCCCCACCTGCCACACCACTATAATTTCAAAAGAATTAGAGGCTCATCACAAAGAAATGCTTAGGAAAGTCCCTTGCACTCTTCCTATAGGTTTCCCCAGTGGTAACACCTTAGACAAAAGCAAATGCAGGAAACTGACTTTGGCATAATATCATAGAGCTTATTTGATCATACGTGTGTGTATGTGTGTGTGTGTGCGTGTGAGAGAGAGAGAGAGAAAGAGAGAGAGGGAGAAAAAGTATGTGTGTAGCTTGAAGCAATCTTTAGCGTGATGCAATCTTGCCATTGTCTTTTTACACATGAATCACATACTATATTAGTAATTTGAAAGATGAGGTCAGATCACTGGAAATAATAAAGTGACCTCTCCCTTAACAAATCGGTATCTAACAATAGTGACGTATATGACCCAACAGGCTGGTTTGATATCAAGTTGCAATTGAAAAGAAAATAAATAAATAAATAAATAAAAGAAGTAAAGAAAACAAAAATCCCACACAGCTCTCAGCTGTTGGGAGCACTAGTCTGTGCTACGTGCCTTTGTGGGCATAACTCGAGAGGCGATGATGGTGAAAACAAAGCTTTTTTATTTGTTGACAATTATGGCTACAATCTTCTCTCATATAAAAAAAAATCTCTGTCAGTGAAAGAAAAGTGATCTTACCTTGATTTCAAAGGTAGTCTCGTCACCTTCCTTACCCAAGAGGTTCAAATCTATCTCTGTAGGAGAATCCTCTGGTATTTTCTGAGGAGAAGCTAAAGGAATAAAGTCAGAAATTGGTTTATTTAACTCACAAATAACTCAGAGCACTTAGCCTGACACAGACTGTATTGAGGCAGGTCGACTGACAAGCTGTAACCAGTTGCTGCACTGATATACTGAATGGTGGGTAAAGAAGAGGCTACAAGAAGTACAAAAGAGAAAGAAATTTCTCAAATCCAGAGACTTCCAGAGGAGTTGGAAATATCAAAGTCACACCCATTAAACTCACAGTAAATTTAATATGGTAACGATCAAGTTGCCATCACTCTTCTTTGTTTAAGGTCTAGCTAGAATGCTATGTGCTTCATGAAGTCTTCCTTGACGGTTCCAAATTTTATGAACTATTTTATGCCCTGCTACTTTAGCATTTATTATTTGTATGATATAATATATTGCTCTTAATTTGCTCTTATAAGACCACTATGGAAGGCAGTTTGGTGCTTTCTCATAAAGCTGGAAATAGAAATATCATTTGACCTAGAAATTCCAATATTGGGAATATAACCTAACAAAACCATAACTTCCATCCAAACAGATATATGCACACTCATATTTATTGTCGCATTATTTGCAATAGCAAAGACATGGTAGCAACCCAAGTGGCCATCAACAAACAAGTGGATAGAAACATTATGGTATATTCATACAATGGAATACTATGCAGCTCTGAAAAACGATGAACTCGTAAAATATTACACAGCATGGGGGACCCTGGAACACATCATGCTGAGTGAAATATATCAGTCACAAATGGACAAATACTGCATAGCACCACTTTTATAAAGCAAGTCTGACTTGGTGGACTGGGAGGAGAATAGAATAACATTAGATAGATAATGACCATTGCATTGGAACAGATGAAGGAAAGAACTGTTTAAAAGGAATATATGATTAGGCATTACACATAAGACAACAGCCCAGAATAAGAGGTATAACATTTCAAAGAGGACTGAAGGGAGGGGGAGGAAGTAGGTAATTGTGCAACAATGAATAAATCACAAAACTGAACTGGGCAAGGAGAAGGGAGGGAGGGGTAAAATGTGCAACAATTAATGAATGAAAATCTAACTTCTCCGTAAATTTTCATTAAAATAATAATAAATATAAAATTTTATTTCAAAAAGACCACAATTATTGGTACTATATTTTATTTAATATGTTTTTTCCAATATAAAGGTAACTTATTTGCTCCCATTATAGAAAATTTGAAAAATATGGAAGTCTTAGTATAAAATCCCCATAGCTGACCCTCTGGCGGGTTTTCAGAAGCAGTTAATTGCACAGAAGGAGACTGACCATCCTTCTCCAGCAGAGCAGCTGGTGGCCTCGAACCCCACGTCTTCGGGATTACAGCACAGCTTCTTGCCACTAGGCCTCCAGGGCTCAGTATTATAAAATCTTTTAACTATATTCATATAATGGAGCTCCTGGAGGTCTAGTAGTAAAGGAGGTGCACTGTCAGCCCAAAGGCACATGGTTCAAATCCACCAGCTGCTCCATGGGAGAAAGACGTGTAATCTCCTCCCTTGCAATTATACTGCCTCTGAAAACCTGCTAGAGAGTTGGCTGTGGATTGGTTCTGACTCGACAGTATGCAACAACAACAACAACACACACACACATATAGGGGAGCCCTGGTGGCCGACTGAGTAAAGGGCTGTGTTGCCAACTAAAGGCAAATGGTTCAAATCCACCAGCTGCTTAGCAGGAGAAGAATGGGCAATCTCCTCCTATGCCATTTACCTCTGAAAACCCGCAGAAGGGGTTCAGTTGTGAGCTGTTTCAGCTTCAATGATAATGAACAACATATACACACACATACACTCTCAGTCTATTCTCAGGAAAGGTGTCCACACCTGCCCTAACGAGAAGAAGGGTGATCTTATGACCAGATTCAAGGATCGGTGGAGCTACATTTATATTTCACTGACTCTGTGAGAGAACCAGTTAAGATAGGATGCAATCAGTCTATCTCGCTTCTGCTTTCTTCTGTTAGTCACTTTATCTCCCTTCTCTCCTCCCATTTTCTCTCTTTCTCACAGATGCTGTCAGACACTTGGGATAGTTGATCTCCTTTCTGCAGGCTCCATGGGTATCTGGCAGGAAGAATGGATGTTAAGGCCTTCCAAGCCAGCTTCATCAGGTGGTTACATTGGGAGTGATGGCTTAGAAGGTCAATAAGAAGGAGCACTTTTTTTAAATTCATACTTGTCACCAAACCACACCAGTTGTGTGTACAACTCCCTGTGATTAATCAATTAAACTGAGATAGGACATGAGCATATCTAGGTCCTATGATGAAAATGCCATTCATCTGATGTCAAATGCCACTCTGATTCTTCTACGTGGTAGGCATGGCCCTCACAACTCTTGGATTCAATAAACCAACTGAAAGCAGTTTCCTGAGGGCTTCTAAAATTTTGTTTTAGATCATTAATTACAATTGGCTAACATGATTCATTGAAATATCTCATCAAACTCCCATTGTACACTGCTTTTCCCTTCACCTAACCTATATATTTATTCATCTTTGCTCCTCTCTCCCTCCCTTTTCATTCCCATTACCCCTCTAACATTGATTTTGTCTGCAAACCTTTCCTTAGCTTTATTATGTTCCATTTTGTTAGTTATTATACCCACAATGTCTGATCATCATTTTGTCCCACATTGTCCTTCTCTTCACCAACGTGCCAGTGTCTATTCATTAATTTTATACTGTCCCAATTTCACTCGCAATAAATATACTAGATTAATTCTATTGTTGTTGGGTGCCATCGAGTCGAGTACTACTCATAGCATCACTATGAACAAAAGATCTGAAACTAGTCCTACACTGTGCCATGGTCACACTTCCTGACACACAAGAGCCCATTGCAGCAGTTACCATGTCAGTCCACCTGGTTGAGGATCTTCCTCCTCTCCTTCGCCAACCCTCCACCCTTCCCAACATCATGTCCCTCTCTAAGGAATAGCACCTCCTAGCAATATGTCCAAAGTATGTGAGGCAAAGCCTCATCATTCTTGCCTCCAAAGAGCACTCTGGCTGCATCCTATATAAGACATATCTATTTGTTTCCTTGGCTGTCCATGGAATGTTCCATGTTCTTCTCCAACACCACAGCTCAAAGGCACCAATTATTTATCTATTATCCTTATTCATTGTCCAGGTCTCGGATGCATAGCTAGTGATCCAGAAAGACCATGGTCTCAATCAGACGCACCTTAGTCCTCAAACTGACATCACTCCTCAATAATTTGGAAAGGTCCCTAACTATAGATTTTCCCAGTCCAATGTGTCTCCTTATCTCCTCACTGCTAGTACCAAGGGTGTTAAATGTTGATCCAAGCAAGATGAAGCTCTTGACAGTTTCAATCTCCTCTCCATGCATCATGACACGGCCTATTGGTCCAATGGTAAGAATCTTGAGACACAGTCCATACTCAAGGCTGCATTCCTTGATCTTCTGTAACAAGTGCTTCAAGTCCTCATTTTCAGCAAGCAAGGTTGTGCCATCTGTATAACGCAGGTTATTGATGAGTCTCCCTCCAATCCTGATGTCACACTCCTCTTCAGAGTCCAACTTCTCGGATCATTTTCTCAGCATACAGATTGAACAGGTATGGAGACAGAATACATCCCTGACGCAGCCCTTCCCAGTTTCAAACCATGCAGAGCTTCTCTGCTCCATTTGCACAACAGCCTCCCACTTCAGGTATAGGTTCCTCCTGAGCACAACCAAGTACTCTGGGATTCCCATTCTTCTCAACGTCAGCCACATGTTACGATCCACAGAATCAAAGGCCTTTGAATAATCAATAAAGCACAAATTGACATTCTTCTGGTACTCCTTAATTTCAGCCAGGATCCAGAATGATATCCCTGGTGCCACAGCCTCTTCTATATCCTGCTTGAACTTCTGGCAATTCCTTATCTATGTACTGTTCCAGTCATTTTTGAATGATCTTCAACAGTATTTTGCTATCCACATGTAAACTTTGTGTAGTTTAGTTTTGTTTTAATAACGGTGGTCTTCTCCACTGTCTGCCCATTCCTGGAGAGTTTTCCATAGAGAACTTACAGCAAAATCTACACTTAACTATACTGTTTGCTGTCACACTCATGTAACTATAGAAGCTACTATATAACAATGGACAATTCTTTGGGTTTCTCACTCTGGAAAATCTCTGTCAACTGAGTCATTCCAAGCGTAATAACTGGATGCTGGAAATGCATACATTGTTGGTGATCCATGACTGAGAATCAGCCCCCCACCTTTAACAAGTACAATGAGAGAGTTAACGAGAAGGCATGCTGCCAGGATTCAAACCTGGTTCTTCCAGGTACAAGATACACATTGCCAGAGTTGTCTTTAAACCTCAGTCCCTTCATCTATGAAGCGAAGAATAATGACAAAGTCTACAAAATAGGATCACTATGAGGTTTTAATGAGATAATAGACACATAGCAGTTAGCTCTTAAGTGCCCAAAACATTTTTGCTATTATGATAGCCACACAGCATTAAAACAACTGCTCACATCCCTATGGACTTGAGAGAGGCTAAGTGTACCCAAAGCACATAGCTAATGAGACATCTAGTCCCAGTCTCTAGGCACTCCTGTCTGAGTTCCAACTAATGTGAAATATCATCATTTATTATGGCCCTGACACAGTTGCTAAGGAATCAGAGAAATGTGTTTAAAACTTCTGTTCATGAGCTGAGAACACACAATGGTTGCTTTGCAATACAGAAGGATTGCTTTGCAAAACGAGTTAGTGGCCTGACCAAAGTCAATGCTGCCTATTCAGACATAATGAAGAGTAGTCTGCCCTTGCTGTGTGCCATCGAGTCAGAACTGACCCACAGCTGACCTTCTAGAGGCTCTTCAGAGTCATACATCAAACTGGAGCAGATTACATTTCCTCTCCCACAGAGCAGTTGTGGCTACAAACTTCATACCTTTGGGATTGCAGTGCAGCTTCTTACTTCTAGGCCACCATAGGTCCCTGTCTACCCTTAGAGGGGTCATTAGCTACTATGAAGCCCTATGTTTGGAAAGCTGAAAAACAACACAGCATTCCTGTTACATCAATTTGTAACCAATATATGTGTCTTCAAGCAAGGTAAGAATCCAAAATGATGTTAGCTTTGGAAAGGCGCCCAAGATGAGGAGTAAAGAGAACCAAATCTTGTTTCCAACAGTGGGACCAAGGCAGGGGTGTGTGTGTGTGTGGGGGGGGTGTTGGCATGGTGTGTTTGTATCTGTGTCCATGTGTGTATGTGTGTCTGAGTGTGTGTGTGTGTATATATGCAGCTGTTGAGTGTATATGTTCACAGAAAAATGACCAAGACATCTGTGCTTAAAACTACTGAACTACTAGGAGAAACGAAAAAGGATGGAAATATAATGTTTATGAACTGGAAGAGTCAGTATTGCTCTTCCCAAGTTTGGTTTACATCATAATTAATCTTTAAACATAATTTTAGCAGAAACTGACAAGGAGATTCTTAAACTTATATTGAATTGAAAAAAGGTCTAAACCAGTCAAAATAATCCTTTAGAAAGGATAAATTTGGAAGATTTATCCTACTTAATCTCAAGGCTTACTAGTGAAGTTCTAATAGTCAAGACTACATGGCATACATATAAGGACTTAAAACTTTTAAACTCTGCCAAGAATTGACTCTATCACTCAGTTGCTACCAGCATCTTCAGAGTCTTTTAAAATTCCTTAATGGAGTCTATTTTACTCTGTTGTTATTTGAATGTTTCTATTATTCCTCTATCAGACCACAAGCTTCTCTTTGACTTCAAGCACTCAGCATGCATTCTGCTCTGTTGTTTATTGTAAATATGATTGATCAGTACAATGGTCATTATGCATCTCCAACAAACATCACCTCAACCCTTGTGGATACTAATGAAAACATGGAAGCCACACAACTTCCTTCTCCAAATCACTTACCCACAGCAGAGATCTGACTGGTTTTCGGTGATGCCCATTTTGGAGAGGACTCAGGATGGGGGGCCACAGGCTGCACTGGGCGAGTCTGTTTGGCGGCCAGCTTCTTCAGGCTCACTTGCCTTTTGTCAAATATTTCTTGCACATCGCCCAGCTTCTGCAGGACTTTCTGGGCTTTGGCCTGCAGCAACAAAGCAAAGTATGAGTCAATGTCTGTATACTCAGCCCAAACACACCAAGACTTCCCTTTCTCCCAACTTTCCCCAAACTGCCCCTGCTCCTTCAGGTGACCTTTCTCTAGTTGCCCAGGTGCAAATCTAAACCTGCCAGAACATTTTGTGGTAGTTTATTACAGCTGCCTTAGGAAGCTAAGACAGGGTCCGTAACGGAAAAGAGGCACACACAAGGTGATGTGGATCTTGGAGGAAAGAGCCACAACTCTTTTGCTTCACAGGAACATACTCCTTTCAAAACAAAACTCCAACCAAGTTATCTTCACACCTAAATCTTTCAGTGGCTTCTCAATGCTCTTAGAATAAAGACCTTAATGAGATCTACAAAGTCTCATCTCCTCTGCCTCTTACTAAACTCATCCTGTACTTTCTTCTCTTGCTCCCATACTCCAGAAATGCTGACATGTCAGATCCTCACTTTGCCTTGCTCCCTCGAGCTCTGTGGCCTTCACGCACAAGGTTCCTTTCATCTGGAAATCCTCAATCTCCTCTTCACCTGGCTAGCTCTCTGTTGTCTCTATGGCTTGATCCTGACCCAGTCCAGATCAGGTTCTTCTGTCACGTGCTTAAGAGGACCCTGAGCCTCTCATTCAGAACACTTAATTTTGTTGCTTTGAGGTGCTGTTGAGTACGACACACAGCCACCCTATGAACAAAAGATAGGAACCCTGTTCTATCCTGTGCCACCTCAAAATTCCTGACACACAAGAGCCCATTGCAGCAGACACTGTGTCAACCCACCTGGTTGAGGGTCTTCCTCTCTTTTGCCAGCGCTCCACCTTCCCTAACATCATGTCCCTCTCCAAGGAATAGCCCCTCCTAGCAACATACCCAAAGTGTGTGAGCTGAAGATTCATCATTCTTGCCTCCAAAGAGCACTCTAGCTGCACCCTCTCCAAGACATATCTGTCTGTTCTCTTGGCCGTCCATGGAATGTTCAGTGCTATTCTCCAACACAGCTCAAAGGTGTCAATTTTTCTTCTGTCATCCTTATTTATTGCCCAGCTCTCCAGTGCACAGCAAGTGATCGGAAAGACTATAGCCTCAACCGGACACACCTTAGTCCTCAAACTGACATCATTACTCCTCAATAATTTGGAGAGGTTCCTAACTGCAGATTTTTCCCAGTGCAATGCATCTCCTTATTTGTTGACTGCTTGTACCAAGGGTGTTAACTGTGAATCCAAGCAAGATGAAGTTATTAACAGTTTCAGTCTCCTCTCCAACCATCATGATGCTGCCTATCAATCCAGTGGCAAAATTCTTTGTTTTCTTGGCATTGAGATGCAATCCATACTGTAGGCTGCATTCCTTGATTTTCCACAATAAGTACTTCAAGTCCTCCTCACTTTCAGCAAGCAATGTTGTGTCATCTACATACCATAGATTATTGATGACCTGATGCCACATTCCTCTTCACAGAGTCCAGCTTCATGGATCATTTGCTCAGCATACAGATTGAATAGCTATGGAGAGAGAATACAACTCTCCCTGACACATTTCCTTCTCAATTTTAAACCATGCAGTGTTCCTCTGCTCTGTTCACACAACAGCTTCCTGGTCCAGGTATAGGTTTTGCATGAATAAAGTCAAGTGCTCTAGAATTCCCATTCTTCTCAATGTCAGCCACAACTTGTTATGATCCACTCAGTCAAATGTCTTTGCATAGCCAATAAAACACAAATAGACATTCTTCTAGTATTCCTTACTTTCAGCCTGGATCCAGCTGACATCAGCAATGATATCCCTGGAGCCATGGCCTCTTTTAAACCCTGCTTGAATGTCTGGCAGTTTCCTATCTATGTACTGTTCTAGCCATTTTTGAATGATATTCAGCAGTATTTAGCTTGCATGTGATATAATGATATTGTTTGATAGCTTTGTCTGGGAATTTTATTAATTCCAGTCTCTCCTACTAAACCACAACTTCATGAGAGCTTGGTCACATCTATACTTGATGACTGTTGTCTTCTCAGCACACAGCACAATGCATGATACATCAGAGATGCATGTAAGTGTTTGGTGTAAATGTTAGTGACTAACGGGGACCCCTGAGCCAGACTACGAAGAGTAAGCTTATAAGGAAGCATGGACCAGGAATCTAAGAAGTCACCCAACGGTATAAGAACAGGTTAGCCTGTTCAGTAATCCTACCTGTTAGTCATTCATTCATCTAGTGGCAAAGTTCCTCACCTATCCTTGTTCCAACCACAAGGTAAAAATAACCCAGAACCATTACCTTCAAGTCAAAGGTGAGTATCAATTCAAACTGGTTGTAAAACTCCTTGGAGCTGGGCAACTGGTATTCCTTGGCTGTGTCCAGGAATGTCTCAATGTCGTGCAAGGCAATGTCAACCCCTTCTCGTGACTGGCACTTGTCTACAGCTTGGGAGGCCAGGAGATAGATTCCCGCTTCACACCACTTGCTGACCTTTTGGAAAGATACACAATGCCTCATGCAGTTAGTCTGACAACAGCCCAGCCACCACCGTGCTCAGAGGGCCCAGCTCACCAAAGACCCTGCCTGGGAGCACAGGAAACGGTCCCAGTACATGACCCTCAGGCATCACTGCAGGGAATCACTGTGAAGAAGCTCTCAGATGCACGGCCCCAAGACAATTTTTCTCTCTATCCACTTCTTAGGGAAATCTTTTGGTTAGTAACATGAATGTCATAAACAGACTTGGTGTTTCAACCAACAATAATCACTCAACTCCCAGGAGAAGAGTTAGCATTCCTTAAGGCTGGTCTAAACCTTAGAAAAAGGTAACCAAAGACTTGTCTTGTATTGTAATAGGCTCAATGAGCATAACATGATTAATAAGACATCAGACAATTCTCCTAAAGAAGTATTTGTGGACCCTCTTACACCTTTGGAGGCACGGAAACGCTTCTTGAGGGGGAAAAAAAAAATTATTTCTCATCTTTGTGTCTCCAGGTTTCTGCATGTATTGGCATCTGTCTGTCTTAGTTAAGAACGCAAAGGCTTCCCGTTCAGGAAACAAATGTTCCTACATTTTCCTGGTTGCTAGATTAATTCAGAGAGGTTGAAATGTAATAAATCCTTTTTAAAAGGACTCATATTCATGCTTTCTTTCCTCTTTCAACTCCACTAAGATACTTTAAAAAAAGTGCCTCTGTGCTGTCTGAATATTTATAATAGGAATTTTCCAGTATAATAAATACATGTGCATTTCCATTTACTATGGAGTCTGAAAAGCTCTTCTAAAAATGGTACAGAGAGAACAGACCAAAAAGGGAGCACTCTGAAATGATGATTCCTAAGAAGGAAGATAACAGGCACTTAAAAGTTTTGTCTTTATTATTCCCCCAAGTGATTTACACTGAGTATGTAACATTTTCCTTCTAATAATAACAAAGGTAATAAATAATATTTTTAAAAATAATAACAAAAGCAATACATTTCAAAATTAATGAGCATCAGTGTGGGAAGAGAGGGAGAGGTGTTACAAGTGCCCTTAAGTACTTTTTCCTACCTCTTTCCTACACTTTTAAAATTTTTAAAATGATACAGTGTCATGCTTTGAGAATCACCGTGGACACGTTTGCTTTAAACATCATGCTTAGCCTGCAGAAAGCGTTATGCTAGGGGCCCCTCAGCAAAGGCATGACTATGCGCATTCCGAGAGATGTGTGCGCGTTCTCTCTCTCTCTCTCACTCACACACACACACACACACACACACACACACACACACTCTGAAGATTAGTTGCCACTGACTCCATCTCAACTCATGGAGACCCCACACGTGACACAGCAGAGCTGTCTCTGCAGAGCTCAGTGGATCTCTCACAGCAGACTGCCGGCCACTCTTTGCAGGGGTCTTAACATGCACTCAGCCTCCCCATCTTTCTCATTAGCAGCTGAGCTTCAACGTTTTTATAGCACCCAGGGACTCCGCATGGCTTTTACTCTCTGGAGCAGGAAAGAGGTAAGGAAAACAGCTGCTTTACTCAGCACACAGGGCAGGGTGTGCCCCAGGCTCCTCCCTTTCCCTGGGCCACTGGCTTTGGGAACAGCTGTATTTCTTTGATAATAACCCCTCTGGCAGCGGGATGAGTAACAGAAGGTGCCTTACCCACAGGAGAGAGAAAGCTGTAGGGAAGGAGTGCAATGATTCACATTATTAGCCTCAGGCTGCCTGAGAGCAGCTGATGGAGAGGATTCCAAAAAATCTGGCTCTGGCAGATTAGGAACTTGTTCCAGAGATCACAGCCCAAGGACATCAGGTTCCATCCACACCATTCCTTGCAAAGACAGTGCTATGAGCCCAAGAAACCTGGGTTAGGGATTTGCCAGTCCTGACTTCAAACATGGCTTCCTCTGAGAGGCCCCTGTGTGATCATGGGTGGTCACTTAGACTGGGGGCTTCTCTATGGTTTGTGCACTATCATATCTGGCCACGTAACCAACATTCTGATTCTTGGACATCATCCCAGACCCACTGAATCATGATCTTGAGAGCGGTTCCTCAGAGGATTTATGGTCCTAAGCAGCTTGTCTAGGGACCTCTGGTGGCCTAGTGGTAAGGAGCATGTGGATCCAGCAGACACCCCATGGGAGAAAGACAGACAATCTCCTGTAGGATTTAGTCTCTGAAAACCTGCTGGAGGGTCAGCTAGGATTCTAGCTTGACCATACGTAACAACAACAAGCTCCTCTGGCGACACATACTAAGTTTTTAGCACTATGGACTTAAATTCTGAGAATCTGTTTCCTTTTCTGTAAAATGAGCTATCAACGCCTTCCTCAAAGGTTGGCAGGAGGGTTACATTTTAAAAAGCAAATCCAAAAACCAACCCAACCCACACAAAACAACCCACAACAGTTGCCATTCAGCTGACTGCAGATCTTGAGGACTCCCTGTGTGCTGGGGCAGAACTGTGCTCTCTAGGGCTTTCAGTGCCTGATTCTTAGGGAGGTTGACCAGCAGGCTTTTCCTCCAAGCAACTCTGGGTGAACTGGATCTTTCCATTAGCAGCCAAGTACAATAACTGTACAATCTAGGCTCCCTGAGCGTTAAATGAATGACATAATCGTTACTTGTAATAACAGACCCAGTGCTTACTAAAGAATAGAGGGTACAGGAGTTCTGGTGGCCTAGAGGTTTGAATCTACCAGCTGCTCCGAGGGAAAACATGGGCAATCTTCTCCTTTTAAAGAATGGTTGGCTAGCCAATGTGGACTGAGAGTGGGGTGGAGCTCCCCAATTAAACAAGTGTGGAAGGAGGAGTGGCATCCACTTCCATAATAGCTTGCCTCTGGAAACCCTATGAACCTGGAAAGAGGATGAAAGGCACCCAAGCGTCTAGGACTCTCCTTCATAGGGTCGCTATGAGTCGCCTGCAACTCAACAGCACTTAACAACAACAACAACAAGGGGTTGCTATGAGGCAGAATTGACTGGAATACAGTGAGCGAATGAGGTAGCTGTCATTCTTACTTATGTTTCTCCCAAAGGATTTACAATTTGTTGCCTTATTGATGTTGTTATGCACTGTAGAGTCAGAACTGACTCATCCAGTTGGTTTTCAGAGATTATAAATATCACACGAAGAGACAGCCCATCTTTCTCCAGTGGAGCAGCTGGTGGATTCAAACCGCCAACCTTTGAGTTGGCAGCACAATTCCTTACCACTAGGCTACCAGAGACCAACCCACTGCACTGAGCTAATTCCACCCCACAGGGCAAAGCAGAACTGCCCCCATAGTTTCTGGGGCTGTGCTATCATTGGAGCAGACAGCCACAGCTTTTTCTTGCAGAATAGCTGGTACCTTTGAACCACTGACCTTTATATAACCTTTATGCCACCAGCACTCTTTATATGAAGGAAACACTTTGCAAATACAGTACTTAATTCCTTGTGCTCCTGAAGAGAATGAAAAAAAACAAAACAAAACAAACTCTCACAGAAACTGGTCAAGCATACTCATTAAGTATGGAAAATAATCTACCAGTTCTGGGGGGGATGGCTGGGGCCTTCTCTGCCTTCAGTAATCCCCACTACCAAGTATTGACATTTCTAAGGATTTGCAATCACTTTGTCCCCTCAGTAATCACACAGGGCAGAGGAGCAGGTATGGTTCAGATCATTTTACAGACATTTTACGACATCACAGTTCTGTTCTGCTCACCTTGTCCAGCTGTTGATGCAACTCCAAAGACCTCCTCAAGACGTCATGCTTTTTCTTGTTTTCATTGCTGAAGTCATCACAGAGGTGCCTGAGCTCCACACACTTGGGCCTGATGGTGTCCACTGCATAGTGATGGCTCTGGACAAGCTGGTCCCCACTCAGTGCGCACAACCGGGCCTTTTCCAATGGCTCCTGAGAAGTGAACACTGCTTTAGAGAGAAAAGCATTTGGTCTGTTTAAACCTGGCACAAAAAGCTGTTTGCTTTGGGTAACAAGCCGATTATAAAAAAAAAGTCCAAACACCACTTCAAAAGTCAACCTGCAGCCTTCGGAAGGGACTTCTCCACTAGCTCCATGCTAATTTCTCTGAGTTTCACCTACCCCTACATCTGGGAAAATACCTTATTGTTCACATTTAGTTTGTCATTTGTTGTTGTTAGGTACCATCGAGTCCACTATGACTCAAAATGCCCTTATGAACAACACAGGTGAACCCTTCCCTGCCCTATGCCATCTTCACACCTGAGCCCATTGCTGAAGTCCCTGTGTCAATCCACCTGGTTGAGGGTCTCCCTCTCTTTCACTGTTTCCTCGCCTGATAAGGTAGCCTCACTGTCAAAACTGTTGTGTGCCATTGAGTCGGAACTGACTCATAGCTGACCCTCTAGTGGGTTTTCAGAGGCAGTAAATCCCATGAGAAGAGACTTCCCATTTTTCTCCCAAGGAGAAGCTGGTGTATTCAAACTGCCTGCCTTTAGGTTGGCAGCACAACTCCTTACCCACAAGGCCACTAGAGCTCACCCACAGTAGAAACCAAGACGACATGATGGTTCCACATGCGTATAGACTAGGGAGAATCTTGTCTTCTGTCTCCTATCCACTTACCTAGTTAAGAAACAAGACACACTGAAGTAGCATTTTTTTTAGTGTTTTCCCCCCTCCCTATGCCTATGAATATCTTGTGTGTCTGATAAGAGGTGGATATGGTTTCCTTGCCCATATCAAAGATTTGTCATAGCAAAGAAAACCTGTAAGCAAATGAACCCCCCTTTTAGCACCTGGATGTGAAATGGAACTTTGGTATTGTAACTTGTATTTTTTTCTGAACTATGTAGCCATTTTGGATCTGTCCTGCAGGAAATCCACATTCTCCTTCCTTCCACAGACAAACATCAGCAATCAAGTCACTGTGAGACTGATTCACTGCCACAGATGCCTCGCATTGTGAAGAAGTTAGTTAAGATGCCAACTCAGTCATTAGCCTCAGAGTCTGAGGCTGAGGAGTCTGGGGAAGTTCTGTGGGTATTCAAGGTCCCCAACACATCTAGTCTCGTCTAGGATTATCCAACCTCCAAAGAACAGCAGGTCATCCATGCAAACATTCACTGAGTTCTGGGGTAGGCAGGGAAGATCTTAGCAAGCCAGACATTGTCCAGTTAATAAAGAACCCAGACATTAAAAAGTTACACCAACAACAGAACTATTACAACTATGATAAGTTTCAGGATACA